GCCTCCGAGGTTAAGGAGTATTTTCCGTGGGCGTCGTTGATCCACGAACGATCCGGGCGAGACGTCTGTGCCCCATCTGGAGCCTGGGGGGAAACCTTCAGAGTTGGTACTGGCATTCCATGGACGTGGCGAGCCGACGATCGTCCTGGGCGAGGGTTAATTGCTCCGCCCCGGGGCGTCGGAAAATACACCTCCAAGTCTGGGTTTATTTTCCGTGAGTGTGGCCGCGCCCGAGGTCATGCATTGGGAGTGTGAGACGGAACACCGCAGAAACGAAACCAAGAACTCCAGAGTAAGCGCCAACGCGCAGGTTGACGAAAGACGTCTCTCCAGAACCCTGTTGCCCACCTGGGACCTCGGAGAATAAAACCTCGAGCGTGGTGTTTATTTTCCGTCGACGTGGCGGGCCGAGGGATGGTCTTGGGGGGCGATTTTTGGGTCGACCGCGGGACCATGGAGAAAAGCCTCCGAGGTTACGGAGTATTTTCCGTGGGCGTCGTTGATCCACGAACGATCCGGGCGAGCCGTCTGTGCCCCATCTGGAGCCTGGGGGGAAAACTTCGAAGTAGGTACTGGCAGTCCGTGGACGTGGCGAGTCGACGAACGTCCTGGGCGAGGGTTGATTGCTCCGCCCCAGGGCGTCGGAAAACAAACCTCCAAGTCTGGATTTCTTTTCCGCGGGTGTGGCCACGCCCCGGGGCTTCTGCTCCGCCTTGTTGTAAGAACGTGTTGGAGCCCTGTTGGGCCGTCTGGCGGCCTCCTTGGAGCCTCGCCGTCTGGCGCCGTCCTGGGCGGCTCCGGGGACGTCTGGCGCCGCCTTGGGCGGCTCCGGGGCCGTCCTCGGCCCGCCTCGGGGCTCTCGAGGGGTCGTCCTTGGCCCGCCTTGGGGCTGTCGTGGGAGCCTCTGGGGCCGTCCTGGGCGCCTCTGGGAGCCGTCCCGGGGCCGCCTCGGGCCGTCCTGGGGCCCTCCCGGGGGGCCTCCTGGGCCCTCTCGTGACGATCTCGGGAGACAGCGTTGTCGTCCTGGGCGCTCGGAAGACGAAAAGCGCGGGCATTGCCAAAATGAGTGTTTCCTTCCGGATTTTGGAGATTTTTCCTCGTTCAGGCTCTCTCGGGGTTCTTCTTGGAGCCCACTTGGAGGAACTTGGGCGCCTCTTGGGCCGTCTGGAGGCCATCTTGGAAATCTTCGAGCGCTCTTGGACCATCCCGGAGGCCCTCTTGGACCGTCTTGGGGCGTTTTAGGGCCCTCTCGGGGAGTTCCGATAGGATCTCGGAGCGCTCTTGGGCCTTCCTGGAAGCGCGCCGAGGCCGTCTTGGGGACTCTCTTGGAGGCCCCCTGGGCAACATGGGCTCGATTTCGGACGCCCGCGGTGCCGTGGTGGGCGTCTTGGGGCGGGCGGGAGGAGCACCACCAGAAACGTCAAAAACCCTCGAGAATATCAATAGTTTTGCGGCCTCAGGGCCCTCGGGGGGGTCCCCTGGGAGCTCCGTGGAAGCTCGTGGGGGCCCTCCGAGCCCGTCCTGGGGCCCTCTCGGGCTCGCTGGGGAGCTCCCGGGAGACTCTCGAGGCCTCCGTCGGGGCCCTCATGGGCCGTCCCGGGGCTGTGCCGGGCCGGGATCCAGCGTCACCCCACGGGCGGGGCCCCCGGGCGCCGCCGCGGGTGACCATCGCTCGCCCCTCTCGCAGGCGCAAATGCCCGGTATTGTAGTATAGGCTAGTGTGTACCCATGCTTGCTGCCACTGGCGGCGGGGGTTGCCGAACCCACTCTTCTGGGGCTCTCCTGGGGCTCTCTTGGGCCGTCGGGCGGCTGTCTTGGGCGTTTTCGAGCGCTCGGGGCCCGTCTCGAGGCCCTCTTGGACCGTCTTCTGCCGTCTTCGGGCCATCTTGGGGGCCTCCAGGGGCGGCTCGGAGCAGTCTGAAGCCATCTTGGAAGCGCGCTGGGGCCCCCCCAAGACGCCGCTGGGCGCGGGCCAACCATTCTGCCGCGAGAGGCCTTCTTGTGGCAGGACGCACCCGACCCTGTGGCCCGAAGGCCTCAAGAGGGCCGGAAGAGCGCCTCCAGGGGGCCCCAAGAGGGCCCCAAACCGCATATACTTAATATCCTTCTTGGGCCCTCCTGGCTCTCTCTTGGGGCCGCAATGGGCGCCTGAGGAGCCGTCCTGGCGCAATCTTGAGCCGTCTTGGGGCAATCTTGAGGGCCTGTGTGGCCGTCTTGGACGCGTCGAAGACGAAAAGCACAGGAACTCCCGAAATGCACGTTTTCCTAAGGATTGGGACGACTTTCCTTGTTCGGGCTCTCCTGGGGCTCTCTCTCTCTGGAGCCCACTTGGAGCATTTTGGGGGCCTCTTGGGCCGTCGGGCGGCTGACTTGGGCGTCTTCGAGCGCTCAGGGCCCGGCTCGGAGGCCCTCTTGGACCGTCTTTGGCCGTCTTCAAGCCATCTTGGGGGCCTCCGGGGGCGGCTCGGAGCACTCTGAAGCCATCTTGGAAGCGCGCCGGGGCCCTGGGGCCGCGCCGGTGGCCGCCAGACGGGGTCGGTCCGCTGCCACTGCTCGACGCTTCGGCGAGCGGTGAACGCTGCATTGCAGGAGAGATGACGTCGGGCTCCAGTTTCGTATCCCACATCTCGCTCAGCCGCGCCAGCGCCCGCTGCCACTGCTCGCCCTTCTCGCGAGCGCTGAACCCAGCACCGGGCAGCGGGCAGCAGCACGCGCAAAGCAGGATTGTCATCAGCCGCACCCAGCAGCACCAGCAGCCAGCAGCAGCACGCAGCAGCGTGCGCGGGAAGCGAACTTCGGGCCACGTGATGATGTCAGCTTTGTGCAGAATTCGTGGACGCCGTCCACGGGTCGGCCCTACTCTTACTACATTGCAGGCATACGCGCGTGCGAAAAGGGCCTGCGGATCCAAACCCTGGAAAGCACTCCAGGGCGCCTCGAGGCGAGCTCGAGGACGAAATTCAATGCGCCCTCTTCGCCAGAGGACGAGATGTCGTGCGAGCGTGCCGTGTTAAATCTTGTCCGCGCCCCACGGGGCTGAGCGCTGAGGCCCCGGCCCTGGCGCGGACAACATTTAACACGATGCCCAAGCGTTAAATCTTCTTCTCTGGCACAAACGGACGCGCCGAGTCGCCCGATTCTCGGAATCCGAAGGCTCCAGCGACAGTCCGGAGAGGCCAAAATAATGCATTTCCCTTCAGTTTTAGTTTTCTAAAGATGTCACCCTTCCAGCTTTTTTCAGGCTCCAGCCGCCGACGATGCCCGCAGGGAGCCCCGGAATGGCTCCAGAGGGCCCCAGACACCCTAAAGGATAGCTCCAAGACGCCCCAGGAGCCTCCCGACGCCGCCTACGACGGCTCCGACCCGGGCCCATGGAGGCCCACCAAGGCGGCCACAGTGCGCGGCATAACAGCCCGAGGGCGAAATTTGACGCGGGGTCTGGGCCCGAGGACGAGACTTAACGTGAGGGTCCCGCGCCCCCCGGGCTTGAGGACAACACATTTCATGCGAGGGTGGCGTGTTACATTTTGTCCGCTTCTCCCGGGTCCATCGCTGAGGCCTCCGGCCTGCCGCGGACAGATTTAACACACTGCCCAGGCGTTAAATTTTGCTCTCAAGCTCTCCACGGCTCCAGGAGTGTCCCGGCGGAGAAGGACTGGAGATGCGCTTTTCGGAAATATCCCCCCCCCCTGCCTTGCTGAAAGAGGACGTAGTCCACGAGTCAGCCCATGATGCTGGCCCCCGGGGGCGGGGCGACCGCCGAGATTGAGGCCCTGCACGCGAGAAGTGGGAAGCCAACGTGGCGCCTAACGTAATTGAATGCGCCTGGCGGCACTCCCCTTCCTCCCGCGAGTGGACGTAGTCCACGGGTCAGCCCTAGTCAGCTACAATGCTGGGATCAGTGTGCAACCCATAGAGCCCGACGATCACGAGGGCGACGATGAGGACGCAAGATGCCTCCAAGGCGGTTCAAGATGCACCCAAGACGGCCTAAGATGGCCTCAAGATAGCCCAAGACGGCCCAAGAGCACCCCAGGATGCTTCAAGACGGCCTAGGAAGCCTCCAAGAGGACCGCCAGGAAGGCCCGAAGAGGCCCAGGTCATTGATTTCCGAAAGGCTTTGAAAGACTTGTGCATTTGCTTCAGTTCGGCCTTCCGACGGCCCAAGACGGTCCAAAATGGCCCCAAGATCGCCCAAGAGGCCTTCAAGATGGCCCCATGACGGCCCAAGAAGGCCTCCAAGACGGCCAACATGGTCGAAGACGGCCAAGAGTGCCCTAAGCTTGCCCAAAGAAAGCCCAAGATGGCCTCAAGATGTCTTCAAGACGGCCCAGGATGCACCTAAGACGGCCTAAGATGGTCTCGAGACGACGACCCAAGACAGCCCAAGAGCACCCCGGAACGCCTCCAAGAAGACTATACCGCTGATCCCCAGATCTCTCCCGGGGTGCGTTTTGAACAGATATTCGAAGCGAACCCAGCGGTGGCGACGAAGGCCTCCAAGGAGACTCAAACAGGCGAAGACAGGGAAAGTGTAGCGGTATTGCTACCCCAGACAGCAGGTTCTGCTTTTCGATACGTGGCCCCTGGAACTACGGACCCACTCCCTGGGACCGGCTCCTTCCTGAGTCGTGTTTGACGGTCCCGAATCTTGACGAAGGCTCCCAGGAAGGCCGACCACGGCGGAGGGAGGCTTGCACACGGCGGGCTCGGCGGCGGCCGAGCTCAAGAGCGAAGCCTCCGCCCGAGCTCGAGGGGCGCCTGCGCCCTGCAGCGCCCTCGAGGCCGCGGGCTCCCGAGGCCACGCCCGCGGGCGGGTCGAGATGGCCGCCGGCCGCGCGGAGGCCGGCTCCTCCACCCCTCCGACGCAGACGGCGGCCAAGTGGGCGACGGCGGCGGCGAAGGCGGCGGCGAGGGCGACGACGACTTTTGCCGTCCACGCGCTGGAGAAGTCCGGGACCTCGCTCCTCCTCCTGGGGAGCCGCCGCTGGCCGGCCGACCCTGCGGGCGCGGAGGTCCTCGGCAGCCTTGGCCGAACTCGCGGCTATCCCTGCGGCCCGCGCCGCTTCGTCCGCGGCTCCCACCTGGCGATGTGGAGCGGGGCGACGGCACAACCTCCTCCTCCCCTCCTCCTCCATTCCGCCTCCTCCTCCTCCTCCTCCTCCCCTTTCTCCTTCCTTCTCCTCCTCCCCTCCTCTACCCCGTCTCCTTAGAACATCTAAGCACTCCTCCCTGCCGCACCCCCAGACGTCTCGGTAGGGTGGGCCGGGCGTTTCGCTTGAAACTTTCTCACCGTGTATCATCCACGAGCCTGAAATGTGCAAGTGTTTCACCGGAGGGCGGGTGATTTTCAAAATGTGGCTCTCGCCTGAGCGCCACGCGCATTCGTCTGATGTTAGCCAACGTGGACCCCAAACAATAGTTTCTTGCAGTTCATGCGGTGCAACCTATGTGGTGCAATGTATGCGATGCAACATATGTAATGCAATCTGCGCGGTGCAATCTATGCGGTGCAATCCACTTTGACCGTCTTGAAGCTGTCCTCTCTACTGCTCGTGCAAACATCCCACCCTCCCACCCGCAACTTGGTCGCAAGACTTCTTAAGACAAGATCGTGACGGTAGGTACCACATGGCACTTGGCCACGACACCGACGCCGACGACGACAGCGACAACGACGACGACGGCGCCGCAGACACCGACTACGACGACACCGCCGACGTCGACGTCGACGAAGACGACGACGACGCCGACGCCGACGACGACGACGAAGACGACGACGACGTCGCCAACGGAGACGACGACGAGGGAGGAGAAAAAACGACGACGGCGACAACGACGACAGCGACGATGGAGGAGGGAAGACGACGACGACGCGAACGACGAAGAAGGAGGAAGGACGGCGACGCCGACGACGACAACGACGAGGGAGGAGGGAAGACGACGACGACAACGACGACGAAGACGACGACGACGAAATAGGAGGGACGACGACGAGACGCCGACGACGGACGACGACGACGACGAGGGAGGAGGATAACCATGAGGGAGGAGTGAAGACCACGACGACGACGACGACGACGACGACGACGACGACGACGACGGCGACGAAATAGGAGGGACAACGACGAGACGCCGACGAAGACGACGAGGGAGGAAGGACGACCACGGCGACAACGACGACGGAAGCGACGACGACGCCAAGACGACGACGACGACGAGGAAAGACAGAAGACGACGACGGCGACGACGACGACGACGAGGGAGGAGGGAGGACGACGACGACGACAACGACGCAAGAGCGCGCGCGCACGCTTTTGTTGAAAACCCGTGTTGCGAAACCTTGTGTTTTTGTAGGTTTTTTGGACACACGATTTTGGAATCCTTCCGAAACCGAAGGTTTTTGAAGGATTTCAACATACGCGCGGGACTTCGCGCGCGTCTGCACTTCGTCCAATTTGTTGCAGAGGATTCTCGCGACGGCACACGCGCAAGGGCGTTCGACAGATTTCGACATGCGCGCGCGAAGCCCGTTTGGTAGCATTCTGTGAAAATCTTGAAAAACGCATGGTTTTCTTAAGATTTCGCAAGATCTCGCGCGTAAGTTTTTTTAGCGAATCAGTGTTGCGAAACCCTGTGTTTTTGTATGTTTTTGGAAAATTCAATTTTGAAATCTCTCCGGAACCGAAGGTTTTCGAAGGATTTTGGCATGCGCGCGCCACGACGCGCGTGTGCGCACTTTGTTTTTTTTTTTTGCAAGGGATTCGCGAAAAAGTCCCATGTTAGAGAAAAAAGTCACCGCATAGCGAGAAACAAAAGAATCTATATCGGGTTGGTGTTTAATTAAGGACGCCAGATCGGGACAAAATTGCGTCAGGGGGCTGGGGTCGGGCCAGGGCAGGGGGTGTGTTGCATCCCCCAGAGGATACCAGGTCGGGACAGAATTGTGCCAGATTGCTGGGGGCCAGGCCCGGCAGGAGGGTCGTTGTTTGTTTAAGAGGACACCAGATCGGGGCAGAATTGTGTCGGGGGACTTGGGCCACACACCTGGGGCTGGTTTATTTCATTAAGAGAACACCATATCGGGGCAAAATGTGGACCGGGGCCAGGCCGGCCTGGAGACGTGTTGTTTGTTTCAAAAAACACCACATCGGGACAAAATTGTGTCGGGGGCCGCGGGGCCACGCCTGGCAAAGGTGAGTTGTTCTTTGATTAAAAGGAGACCAGATCGGGACAAAATTGTGTCAGGGGGCCGGGCGCAGGCCAACCGGGGAATGTGTGTTTGCGCAAGACGACACCAAATCAAGGCAGAACTGTGTCAGGGGACCGGGGCCCGGCCAGGCAGGGGCGAGTTGGTGTTTGAACAATAAAATCCCAGATCGGGACATTATATTGTCCCAGGGAACCGAACCCAGCCTGCCCCAGGGATGTGTTGTTTGTCTAGAATGGACACCAGATCGGGGAGGAATTGCGCCGGGGGGCTGGGGCCAGGCCACGCGACTAAATTGCCTAACGCGCGCAAGGCCGCGGGTCAGCGGCTCACGACAGCGTCCAGGGAAGACGATGCAGTCCAGGTGCCAAGGCAGCCCCTGAACGGGCATGCAGGTGCGTCCAACAGCCTGAGGTAGGCACCGAGACCACCAAACGCAGCCAAAATGGCGCGAGAACGTTCCAACGTCCAAGAATGAACAAGGAACGGGCGCAGACGCCAGCCCAGCCTGTCGGGTAACACCGATGTCGGAATGGTAAGTCCAACGAGGATCCCGACGGCAGCAGCGAACCGCGGCCTCAGCGTCAAGGTGTATCCATGTGCCAACAGACAATCACACCAGGACGGACGGCCCAAACCCAATGGGAGGACGGGCGCCGCATGCGCGCTCCCGTCGAAACGCGGCGTGTGCACGGCACAGAGACAGTGCAGTTTAAAGTGGCGAACGCACAAGCGGAACGAGACTGTGTATACCCAGGCAAGTCCCACAAAGCCTCTGATCCAAGAACGCGGTAGGAAGCCGTCCAGCAATGACGTCCAGAGGGCACCGATCCATAGAGCCTGCAGGGTACTACAGGCCGACTGGGGACAGGTAACAGCTGACGAGCAGGCGGCGAGCCAGTCGCAACGTAAAAGGCGCATCCAGGGAGTGATGACTAGACAGAACAACCACACCTGAGATGCGTCAGCACGGATCCGACGAATGGAAGGTAAGGAAGGGCACGATGCACTGTAGACCCCTGGGAGTGTGTACATCAACGATAACCCAGCGTTGCCCATCCGAGTCGTATAGCACAAAGGGACGAGGACGCCTTGTACCCAAGACGTGTCCCACAGAGCCAACGGATCCAGGGTGACGGCGGAAGGCCGTCCTTCTTTTGTAAGGTCCAGGGTGACGGCGGAAGCCGATCGTTCGGTTAGAAGGTCCAGGGAGAAGCCAGTGGGCGGTGGTCCACTGACAAGCCAGGAAGGCCTGGCGGTGAGACAGCTACAGTAGGGCCTGGGGCCGCGAGTCCACTGCGGAGAGGCGGTGGACGGTATTGCCGAAGCGCACACCTGGATCCAAAGGCAGGAGGTGCGCGCGACGGGCGTAGGGCGGCAGAGCGCCGCGATTAGGGGCCAGCGGCGCGGCCTGGGCAGCGTCCGTACGATTCAGGAAGTGAAACATGGCGGGGACAGAGGAGCCGAGTGACAGGAGGGCGTAGGCCACCGGTGGAGAAGGCAGTGATGCCAGTGGCAAGTGGTTTGCAGGATGCGTGGCGTCACGCGCGGAGCAGACGGCATTACCGAGCGACACCCCAAGGCGACTGGTGAGAGAGGGTGCCGCTCAGGGGAGGGGGGGAGCTGGGCCGCCCCAGTTTGAGGGAAAGGGCGGCGGAGGGCCGCGGTGGTGTGCCGTGGAGCGCAGGCGGTGGGGCGGGCACTGGGGGCCGGTGAGGGCGGGGAGGTAGTTCAGTCTTTCCAGCGGATCCTCTTTTCATCTCGATCACCCCGATCATCAGGGTACCCTCCACCGCGCTTGCCACCCGCCTGCCAGTGATCCTCACGCCGTCCGTCGAGCCACTCGCCCTGCCAACTGCTCCAGGAGTCCCAGGAACTTGTCGCACGGTCGCGCCAGCCCGTGTGGCGATAGCCGCCCTTGCTCCAGTCGTCTGCCTGGGAGTGCCGCAGGTAGTTGGCTCGTATCTTGTTCCAGTCGATACCATAGCTCAGTCTCCTGCCCATCTCGTAGGCGTCGTACCCGCAGTCCTTCCAGGCCGCTAGGAAGTTGATGATATCCGCGGGCGTGTGTAATTTCGGGTCGGACTTGGGTGTCCTCCCTCCAGGGGGCAGAGTACGCTGCGTGTTCGCTGTCCACAGTGCGCAAAAGACTGCTCCCAGCTGCGACTGAAGCCTGGATATGCAACTGGCTGGTGTCTCGTCGGGACGCTCGAGCTCGACGGTGCCCAGCCTGACTTTGTACATTGGGCCGCCTCCATCAGGGCAGGACAGCGCGTTGAGTGCGTCCTGCTCCGAAGAGCCAGTGTGGCGAGAGTAGTAGGGCCTCCGCTCAGGGGGCGTCGGGGTGGGCGCGGGAGGGCGCTCGTACCGCGAGGTGCCACCGTCGCTGTCCCTCTCGTGCCTCGCGGGGTTTCGAGCTGGGGTCCTCCCGCGATCGGCGTAGGGCGTGCCCTCTGTGACTGAAGTCGTAGAATCCTCGCGGCTGGTGTCGGAGCTGTCCGCCGACGGGCTACGCTGTGGGCCATCTCCGCCTGCGCGATTCTCGTCACCCTCCTGGGCCGCCTCAGTAGGCGTGAGAGGACGGGCGGGTCCATCCTCTCCGTAGTCGGGCTCCATCTTGTCAAGGGGGAGGCCGTCTTCCGCGCCTTCACCGCGGTCGTCGTCGGGCGGGTCATGGTGGCCCATGCGCGAGTCGTCCGCAGAACCCTGAGACCTGTCTGTGTCGGCCGCCATGGGAGTATCTGGCCTGTCGTCACCACCAGAACACGCACCAGATGGAAGGGACCCTGCCAGGGAGGTGATCTCAGGAGCCGCGCCAGCGCTGCCTGCGTGGCTGGGTCCAGGGGGATTGCTTGCTCCGACCTTGGTGAATTGGTCCTGGGCTTTGGCGTCCTCGCCAAGCCACGGGAGGGAATCCACGATGTCCACAGGCGCCTCGAACCCGATCTGGCTGCTGAGCGAGGGAAGGGCTGGAAGTTCATCTGGATACAGCGGCCTGAAGTCGCGATCCAGGATGTGGTCCAGGGTGGCCGGGCCAATGTTCCAAATCGGGACCAGACAGCGCCGGCAGCACCAAGTAGCGTTCCATTGGCGTCCCCACCAGGCCAGGGCACGCTTATCGATGGGGGGCAGTCCATGTTGCTCGGGAACTCCTGTCTTCAGCCGGCTTCCATATGAAGCACCCCAGCGGCGGAGAGCCGGGGTCCCAGACCAGGAGCGGGGCCCCCTGGGGGCAGGTGTCGCACCGCGCGGAGTAGGTCCGCGTTTGAGCGGCTTTGATGCCGAAGCGGTCGTCCCGGATCCGGAGGACCGGAATGGTGGTATTGGCACGCTCGGGGATCTTCATGCCCGTCGGTTCCATGAGGAGGTCGTCTAACTGCCTCGTGTCCGCCAGGGGGCTGCAGCCGTAGCCGAGCGGAAGGAGTCCCAGGGAAGGGAGGACGCTCGCTCTGTCGTTGCAGGTCCCTGATAACTGCTGCTCATATTCCCTGATTTTGTCGGTGGGCTTCGCTCCGGCAGGCGTAGGGAAGCCGTTGTCCTCGAAGTGCCGTATCCAGCAGCCAGCGCAGTTCCAGCCCATGTTGGCGCCTTTGATGTACTCCTGGGGTCTATTCTGAGCGACCATCTGGCGCGTGCTGTCGGAGATCCAGGTACCGTCAGCGGCAGTCAGGTAGTCTTTCCCGCAACTGTCGCACGCGTATCTGTTGTTTTTCTTTTCGAGCACGAGCCTTTCGTCGGGGATGAACGGAGGGTCCAGTCTGGTGCCCGGTGCCGGTGCCGGTGGTGGAGGGGCATTGAGGTCGGTCTGGGACAAGGCAAGTCCGCCGCCGATGTAGGAAAGGCCCGCAACCCTGTCGTCGGAACCGAGGGAGGCGTCGGAACCAGCCAGTGCGACGTGTAGTGCACACACTGAGCAGTCGCGTGTGTCCAGGGTGGTCAGGGTTGCTGCCGGGACGACCCGCTCGAGTACGATCATCGGGGCTTGCAGCTGGAAGTCCTGTCTGTCCATCTCGCTCCAGGTCTGCGGGCAGTCGGCTTCCTGCGCAGCCGGGTGGTGATGGGCCAACGCCACGAGCTTGGAGATGTGTGGTAGGACTGCCTCGATGCGACTGTGCAGGTCGGCCAAGTCTTCCAGGGTGAGGCTCCAGGTGCTGGCGAACCTTTTTCGGAAGTCCTGGTGGACCTCTTGCCAGGGTACGCAGAACCCCAGAATGGCTTCGATGACGTCCCCGGCCTGCTCCGCGTGAGAGAAAGGCCATAGAAACACTCGCGGCTCACGGAGCATCAGCATCATGACCACCAGAAGCGAGCGGGCCTTGCAGGAATCCATGGGCTGGCCGTCAGTGTCTACGAGTCCCTGACGGAATTCTTCCATCGAGGAGCCGCACCCTCTGATGATGTCTCCCAACCCGGTCATTCCAGGGTGCTTCCGGTGCCTGCAGCAGTCCTTGGTAGCGGAGCTCCAAGCCTTGGGGACCTGACGGAAGAGCCCTTTGGGAGTACACTGGCGGCGCTTCCACAGTGTTGCACGCCTGCCGCTGGCGTGAGGCAACGGGGGAAGGGAGTCGTCGGGAATGGCGTAGTCCGCATCCCTCCAGGGGGTGCCTAGGCCGAGCGACCAGACCATTGCTGCCCATAGCGCGTTGTAGACTAGATGGGTCGCGTCGAGCCCGAGGGACATGTCAAACAGGAACCCCAGATGCGACCAAGCCTTGCGGTCGAGCATGCCCGGCTGCCGCGGTGCGTTGGCCAACGTGAATTCGTGAGGGCGCAGCCCGGACATGAGGTAGACGAGCACGTGGAAGGCCGGTGTCGAGAGGATATCGTGGAGCCCTCCCGAGATTAGCTTGCCAAGGGTGTCCCAGTCGTAGTTCTCTTCCAGGGGTGCATTGAACCGGTCGGCGAAGCAGGTGGCCTGGGCATCGCGCGCTTTTTTCCTGGCGACGTCCAGCTCGTTCTGTCCTTTTTCCCCCTTTGCGACGCTGCCCCATGCAGGGGGCGAGGGAATCCATGCGGCGAGGTCCTGGAGTGGGTCGAAGCTGTCGTCAATGTCTAGGGAGAGCCTGCGGCCCACGGGGGCGCTGCCACGAAAGTGGACCCAGAGGCGAGTCAGTCTCCCGTACTCTGAGAGCACGCGAAGCTGCGACCATGTGGCGTTGCCGAACATGCGACCGTCTCCCAAGATCAGGATCTTCCGCTTGGCCCTGGTGATTGCCACGTTCAGGCGCTTGGCGTCGTCGACGAAACCCCAGTTGTAGCTGCCGTTGCTCCGGGTAGTTAACACAATTACGATGTCCGCCTCGCCTCCCTGGCTGGAGTCGATTGTCGTGAGTTTGAGAGTCCCAGTGCTCATGTACTCGCCCGCCACCTGACGTAGTCCAGGGAAGCTAGAGCTGATGGCAGTGTTAGCATTGTCGTCTTCCCGGAACACGTTCTGCCAGCGGTGAGTGTCCACCCTGTGGCCTTGGGAGAGATGTCCAGGGCCAGGAGTATCGTGACTGCCGCGTCCAGGACCGTCTTTCCCCTTGCCAGGCTGCCTTTTGGCGCCACCTCTGGCATTGCGCAGAGCGCCGGTGAGGTGACGAGGACCCTGCGGCCATCCGTCCATGAGAATGGCCGTCTGGAGCTGGTAGCCGACCACGATTCTGACAGTGGTGCCCTTGCGGAGCTCTGGTAGCAGGGCGCGCACGATATCCACGGCTTGGGCCGCCTCCGGAAGGTTGGCGCAGCCAGGATGTAGCTCGGAGGAGACCTCCCAGGAGGGTGTGTGCACCATTAGGAAGCGGTGCTTGTCTGGGCCCAGCGGCGGGTCCAGGGGCTCACGGGTGGCGCGGAGGTCACTTTCGTCGGACCCGGTGAGAGTAGCCAACCTTGCCAGTCGTCCAGGTTCCCACGCGCGAATGTCTCTCCAGGGGATGCCCTCGACTATTGGCCGCTCTATGGGCGGGTCCAGGATGCCAGTCTTCATGCCTTTTCCGTAATAGGCTGCGTTCGGGAACGCGAGCAGCTGCGGATGCATCCGATAGCAGATTGAAAGGTGGACTACTGAAGACTCCTGGCAGCGGAGTGCGTGGAACATCCTGTCGAAGATGCTGATGCAGAGCCCTAGTTCGTTCGCCAGTTTGGAGAGCACTGTGGGGGGCAGCTGGTTGGGGTCTCCGACGAGGACCACGGTCCCTCCGCTGTTGATCAGATTAACCATGGACATGAGCGCATGCAGCTCAGTGGCTTGTCCGGCCTCGTCGATGACTAGGAGAACGATTTGTGGGCTGTCCTTTTGACCAAGTGCCTCTGACGCCTCGTGCGTGGACATGATTATCCTGGCCTGACGTAGCAAGCTAGCCTTGTAGGGCTTGAACCCCTGGCTCTTGTCCCCGTCCTGGAAGGGGAAGTCGCCGTGGGCGTTTTTGTAGTGACCCTCCGGAGTAAGGTCAACGAGTGCCTCGTTGACTCGGTCCTTCCTTGCCAGGCGCACGAACTTGTCGGGGAAGCCCGTGTCATGGTCGAGGCGCAGCTGACGTTGTGCCTCGATCATTGCCAGAGCTGGTTGGTCGACCGCCGTGTTGGACCCTGCTGCCAAAGCGACCGCGTGTCCAGGACGTGGGCAGGAACCCCACGTGTTCAGGCAGGCAACTGAGAAGGTGGTCTTGCCAGTTCCAGGGGGTCCGCGCACAAGAATGGCATGGTGGTTCAGGGTTGCACGCAGGGCACTGGTCGCATCGCCGTTCGGCCTGCGCTTGTCGATAATCCTGTGGAGCGTGTCCACGCTGGGAGTGGGACGCACTCTCTGAAAGACGGAGCCAGTGGTATCTGAGATTTCGTCGTCAGAGAACGCCTTTGAGCCTTGGGGGAGAGGCGGCGCCTGCAGCAGCGTGCCGTCTTCGACTGCTTGCAAGTGATCGGCGTCTGGGACACTCCGCTCAAGGGTGGCCTCCGCCCTGGCTCTAAGGCTCAGCCCCAGGGAACGCATGCGCCCCAAGTCGTTGGCCAAGGTTCGATCCGACCGAGGGGCGTGAACAAAGACAAGAAGGTACGCCAGCGGTGAAAGCTGGTGGCCGAACAGATCCGCTGGGTCTTGGCGCAGGTGGTAGATCTGCTCCAGTGCCGAGCATTGCCGCCAGTACTGGATGTCGGAAGGGGCTTCATCTACACGATGCCAGGGGGGATCGTCGCTAGGGGGGCGTCTCGCCTTGGTTTCATCTTCGTGAAACTGCCCGTTCTTCGCGTGGTTGTAGACGGCAATGCACCAGTTTGATGGGTGCCTGTCGGAAGGGCTGAGACCTAGCGCTTGAGCACCCCTGGGATGGATATGACCGCCCAGCGCGGGAGGCCACCAAACTGAGACGTCCGCGATCTTGTCTACCGTTGGGCCCGTGACTGAAATGTAAAGCCACCTGCTCTCTTTGTCACGTTCCAGGGGTCTGGTCGCGATCTTGCACATTTTGGGCCACTCCAACAACAGGAACTCCCTACCAGTGGAAAGGCGCATGGCGTTTCGCAGCCGAAAGGTGTCCAGGTCCTCCAGGCGCGTGTTGGCATCGATCTTGGTGACGCGAACTCCGATGGCACAGTTACCCCTTCTGGCTAAATCCTCTCGCGTGGAGTCTCTGCCGTCGTCTACCGTCTCGACCGAGGCTTGGCTTTCGACCCAGGCGATCCTCCTTAACGTTTGCCCTCGGTCCTGGAGGGAGTAGGGCCATTGTGAGGGGAGTCGGACGGCATTGATTAGTTCCCCGAGCGCTGCCTTGGGGTGGACTCTAGAGTGCGGGGAGTCCAGCGGAACCGAGTAAAGGTTGGCGACATCTGAGGCTGCCTGCGTGGCCAGTGAATCTTCCAGGGCAGCTGGACTTGTCGGAGACAGAGCTTCAATCTCCGTCTCACTGCCCTCGGCCAGCTGGACTGTTCGCTGCTGGCAGGGTGGGCCCCAGGCAGGAGGAGGGTGAGACGGCGGGGGCGGAGGGGGGGGTAACCCAGAGGAGCCTGCGGCCTGTCCAGGTGAGGGGGGTAGCCAGATGGACGATTTCGCCCGCATCCTGTTCCCGTCGCCGTCCTCGGGCTGTCTAAGGCCCTCCTTTGCGGCGCCCAGCCTGTCCATCATGTGCGAACGAACCTTCTCCGGATCCACCCTGGTGCCTCCTGGGCAGTTGTATGTCGACGGATCGTCCCAGAGGGGGTAGGTAATGGGCACGTGCAGCGCATCCTCGGGGATTGCGATGCCAGGTAGCGAGCGCACCCCGTCGCGGGTAACCAAGGGCTGGACTGGTTTCCAGCCGCGCCAGGCCAACCGCGTGACAGACACCTGGTGGGTAGCGTCGTAGGGGTTCCCTCCGCACATGCACCAAAGATTCCCAGGAGTGGTGAAGGTGTTCGGGTCTGGCCACCCGTCCTTGTACCGTGCCACCGACATGTCGTAGTGCTTCGCACTTAGGATGTGTTCAGTGTCGTCGACGGGCTCCTGGCAGATCTCGCACCAGTGTCGCCAACCGCCGTGAAAGTAGACCCAACGCATCCAGGGACAGAAGCGGGCCAGGAAGACGCGCGTGCCCGCGCGCATTGGCGGCCCTTCGTCACTGTACGGTAGGCAGGAGGGCCAGCGGCGGA